TTCGGACAAAGGAGGTTCTACCTGCGAAGCAGTCTCTCTCCACCTTTGAGCATACTCTTTGAATGACTCAGAATTCTTTTGTGACATACTCAGCAACTGTCTTCTGTCAGGAGCCAGATCCATATTGTACTTGTAGTGTTTGATGAAAGCGTCAGATAAATCTTGAAAGCTCTTAATGCGGGATTGGTCCAAAGTTAAATACCACTTGGAAGAAGCACCCTTCAAACTGTCTTGGAAGCAATGAATCATCAGCTTATCATTCTCAACATGGGCAGCCATTTTGCGATAATACATGATCAGATGACTCTTAGGACAGGTGGCACCTTCATAACGATCGAAGTTCGGAGTTTTGAACTTCGGGGGAATAACCAAACCTGAGACCAAACAAACATCCCTTGCAGCAGTCCCAAAAATTTGATCACCCTCTACCTTTTTCAATCTCTGGACGATAGTGTTTACTTCCTCACGAAGCTTATCATGTTTCTCATAACCCTCAACATTCTCATCAAGATTATCAAAAACTGTCTCATTGAAGTACGGTTGCGCACGAGTGTGTACAACAGGTGGTGCAAAGATAGGAGCCCCCCTAGAAACTTCAGAAAACAAAGGCACGGCTTGCTGAACAGGTTGATTAATCGGAACAGTGGCTTGAGGAGGCACAAAACCGGGAGCAAGACCATAAGGTGGGTCCCTTGCTACGGTCACACTTGGTGGAGGGTCCACAGTAACGCCGGTAATCTCAGAAACAACAGTGGGCTGGGTATCCATTTTAGCATTCATGACATGTAACAATTCCATCATACGCCCCATACCCCCTCGAAGGTCTTCAAGTTCATTGCTAAGGCGATCAATCTCTTTTGCCTGATCCTCCATTCTTTTCCGAGTTTGAGCTCTGGTGTTGTATTGGTGCCGAGAACTCAGGGTGACGAAACTGGAAGGTGAGAGAACCGAGTGTGAGAAATCGGGAGACACATGCAATGCAGAAAAGTAAATGATGCTAAAATGTGAATGTAAATGAAGATTTCATGGAATTCAAAACATTTACTAATGTCGTGGGGTACCAAGGAAATCTTTTTCTTGTTTTTTCATTTTATATTTTTTTTTTATTTATGGTATCCCGCGATATCCATAAATGATGTTTGAACTCCATGAAATACAATGTGATGAGATGCTTTATGGATGCAATGCATGAAAACACACAAAGTCCTAGGTTAAAGGCTTGCATGAGGTTCAAAGGCAAGTACCCTCCCCTGAAGTTAGATGGTTCATCCTGTCCTACAAAAGTAACCAGGTTCTAAGGGATCTCAATATCATTGATCCTTCACAAGGGTGGTTGTTCAGAAGGCAACTTACTTACCAACCAAAACCCTCCAAGTTTAAGATCTCAATGAGCGTAGTATCGAGTGTCAACCAACTTCAGTCTGCACCAAAGCCGGTTACCTCACTACTTTCTAAAGGCCAAGATGAGTTAACTAGGGTTCTAAAAGTCAGTTAGTGCATTGACAACATATGGCAGCCTCAATATTATCCTCAACTTGACTTAAGGAATATAAGCACCAACCAAGAAGTCGCACTAACTATGGCCACCAGATCAACCGTATCGATATACGTCGTACAGTTTCCTTGGTCTATTGCCATTTACCTAAGGTACACTAGATCCGGGTGTAGGACTCATCTCACAGCACAAAGAACAGTCCCACAATCAAAGCACAAATATATACATGCAAATGAATAATAACACAGATAGTAATAAGTATGAACAAGTTAGGGATGACCCTCAAAAGTTACTATCCCCAGTGAAGTCGCCATTTTCTGTTGCGGTGGAAATAGGATCACAAACTATTAATGATTTTGAATCGCAATTCAATTCACAACCGCTCTTTGATTTATCCGAAGGAAAAGGTCAAAAGAGGGAAAACCTATTTTTGCATCGTAAACACAATGCGGGGAAAGATCTAGGGTTCGGGGGTTGGTTAAGATTAGGGAAGATATTAGCACCCTAAACTTCTGTAGTACTCTACAGGAACCTTTTGTTCAAATGTTTACTATTTGCTTTATTTATTTGCTTAAGGTATATACAAAGGGATTAAAAGTGAGAAAAGAGACCTAAGGGGTTAATTCTAAGTTTACTCGGCAAGACATCGCATCTTGTGCCTACGTATCCTTACGGGAGTGGAATCAGAGTAATCGTAGTTCCCCTCAATGTGACTTGCTCATTTGGTTTATTACACTGCTGCTGATTGTGATTTGATGCTGAAACCGAGTTTATGCTGATGCGAATTCTGTCGTGGCTTATTTCCGTTCAGATTTGGTGTTTGATTTTCACGGGTTCGCTTGTGTGGTCCAGAGTTGATACAGTTGTGAAATTTGATTTACTTGATAGTGTCCCAAAAATTATTTACGTGATGGAATGGTGTTTTAGTTTGGCTTTGAATCGAATCCAATTACGGCAAATCAAATTGGTCCCCACTTCTTTTACTCTTTATCTCTCTCGGTTGTCCCTTAGATAAGAACAGATGTCACCTGATCTGACGCTAATGGCGCGGATCGGTAACGGGGGTAGGATGCGGCTTCGGTTGTGCCACTCCCGGCACTCGATGATGACAATGTTCTGAGAGTGTCAAAAACCACTTCTAACCTTTTTTCTATATTGTTGTTTTGCTTTGATGTGCAGGTTAGTCGAGATTCTGCGGCGAAGCTTAAAGACAGCATGAAGACCCTTAGATGTTCTTAGGATTTAGGATAGATAATGTAATCCCTTAGGATTTAGAACTTTAATGTATTTCCTTGTAACAGCACTTATAAAATGTGAAGCATTCTCCACTTCTTGTATGATGACATTTTTTATGAAATAAAATTCCCAAAATTTTGAATTTATTTATATTTTATTCTTAATTAAAAAATATAAACATTTGTGAATAAATCCACAAGTATTTAATATTCATTAACACAGGCATAAAACATAAATACTCCGAAGTGATATTCTTATTCGCACTCGTCTCAATTGTAATCCTCATCCCATCATCTGATTAAAATGTTAACCAACCATTTCATAACCAACACCTATGAGCACCGTAATCGCAACGTTTTCAGCATCAACAGTAACACTAATCATGATTAAATTCCACTGACCAAACCGCTAAAATCTCAATATGATCAGAACTGGTGATAGGTAAATGCCTCAAAACCATAATGTATCAAATGCCTCAGATTTTTAATGACAGACCATCTTCAAGGCATCGGTAGAATTTGTATAAGATGACCAAAATACCCCTGGGACCCAATCTGCAAAACAAACACCTTCATAACTTGTTAGTGGTTAGCAAATGTACATGTGAGGCGATATGCGAAATGACTGACTAAATATAAGGGTAAAATTTGGGGTATTACAGGTCCCATTGTATTGAAATGGTTGTTTGTGGTCCCAATGTACTGAAACTCTAATTTTTGTTTGCTTTTACTGAAATTCTTTTTTTTTTTTACTAAAACCCTCACTTTAATGTTACACACGCTTGCAACATGCCAACATTCACCATCGGGGTACACCTGTACAGACCCATGTTAAATGATATTTGGATGGGGAAGTGTCAAAAATGACATGGGGATGAGACGTTGAATATATGTCTTAAATTGAGTTGGAGAAGTTGATCAAAATAGTGGGATACACTAATATGAAGTACATCTATTATTACAATCCTAGGTTTAACTTTTTTAGGAGACTTACTTCAATTAAAAATGATGCTGATGTACTGAAATTTGTTGAAGATGTTAAAGGATATGAATTGCTTAATGTGTATGTTAAGCATTGTGTTGATATCCCTGATATAATAAATGAGTCAGAGTTAGGACAAGGATATTCTGATAATGATGATGTAGTTGAGGATGTGGGAGGGAACAACAAAGATTCTGATCATAATGAGGTTGATAATGAGGGAGTGGAAATAGTGTTTTTTACCATAATGAGGTTGACGATGAGGGAGGGAACAACAATGCTTATGACCATAATGAGGTTGATAATAAGGGAGGGAACAATATTACTTCTGACCATAATGAGGTTAATGATGATGAGGGAGAGAATAATAATGAAGATTTTATTACGTACTATCTGAGACAACTGAATTACTATCTGAGCATGATCATGGCGAGGATTTTGATCAACTATATACTTCTCCTACTAGTGAAGATGGGCAAGAATATGGGCATTTTCCTAATTTCAAAGATGGTGAGACAATCAAGTTCCAATTAGGTATGGTGTTTAACAATAAAGATGTGATAAGGGATGTTGTTAAGGAATATGGTATGGATAGTAAGATAACATCTACTTTAAAAAGAATGATAGTTAAGTGTCAAGAATGATGCAAATTTTACATGAGCAAATTGTATGAATAAATTATACAAACAAGTTGTTTGAACAAGTTAGCATGTATCGCTGGAGAGTGAGACCAATTTTTAATGTGTCATATTATTGAAATGATTTACAAGTGAAAACAGACCACCAAAAAACACATAACTTGATAAAGAGAGAACACATAAATGATTTTTTTAAAAGGATATTAAAAGTTAGGAAAATCAGTATAAAAAGATTAAAACTGCATTTAAATCTTTTATAAAATACTACACAATTCAAACATCTCCATTTTTCCGACTATTTTTAATATATTCATGACTCTCTTAATATATGAACCAGAGAAGCTTCTTCTTCCATCTCACATACCATTCATATATTGTGATATATTAATTGTACAATTCTCATACCAACAAATCCTCTTTTTCATTCCAAACAAAGCACTTTGAACTGAATAATATTCACTTTTTTGTTCTAACTAAATACATAGTTCCAAAATAAAGGAACATTTTAATCATTAGTTGAACCATAAGCAAACATCATATGATATATAATATGATACATGTTTTTAATATAACAAAGTATAATATATGAAATTGAGTTGTTGAATTTGGACCAACATGTTTATAAAATACATTGAAAAAATTATTGTATTTCAATTTGGAAACCCTGCTGCAAGCTTAGCCCTTAGATCCTTTCGTAGTATTTTGCCGGAAGGTGACTTGGGAATAACATCAATGAAGAATACTCGATTAATTCTTTTGTAAAACACAACCTAAAATACACATCAACCAATTCATATTATTAGATATAGAAAGAAATCTTTAAGAGAATTAAAAAAATATTGAAGATTTAAAAAAAAAAGAATACCTGTTTAGCTACGAACTTCTTAATTTCATCCTCACTTGTATTGATGTCACCGTTCGATCGAACCACAAATGCAACCGGAACTTCACCAGCAGCCTCGTCTTGCATTCTAAAAATACAAAATAATAAAATTTGAGATTTTACAATCAAGTGTTTGAGTTTATGATAATTATTATCATTTCGTAGATGACAAGTGCTTACGGTACGACAGCAACATCGGAAATTTGAGGATGAGAGAGAATAATTGCTTCAAGTTCAGCTGGAGCAACTTGAAAACCTTTGTATTTAATCAATTCTTTAAGCCTATCAACGATGAACAATTCATCATCATCATCAATGTATCCAATGTCACCAGTATGCAGCCAACCTTCTTTGTCTATTGTTCTCAATGTTGCCTCTGGATCATTTAGATAACCTAATGTTCAACATGTCACAAACAATATGTTAAAATAATATCATTATATATATTTCATATATGACTTTTCTATGTTTAAGGTTAATGACACATTTCAAATTATCAACCTTAGTCAAAAGTAGGTATAAAAACAAAGCATATTACTTGTAAACAAACAAGACTATACCAACTTGTGCAATTTGTTGACCTATATATTCATGTTGGTAGGTTTTATAATGATAAAAAGTCTCCAAAATTAAGATAATTTCTAGGTGGGGTTGACCTATATTTTGGGACTTAATAATTAGCCTCACTCCAAAATTCCAATCATTTACAAAAAATGTGGTAAGCAAGGTAAGCCAACAACCTTTGAAAAAGAAAGACCCAACACATCAATACAGGCATCAATCATTAAAATATTACAAGTTAATTTGACTTTTCAATTTCTGGTTTATTATATAGTATATTAAACAGTTGGTGAATAAAAAACAAAATTTCTTATAACAATGATTTGAATGTATATATAATTTTCGTTTTTTACAATTATATACAAGTTATTCTATTTTAAACGTGTTAGACAGTTGAAATATAATTAGATTTATAAAAATATCTTTAATGGAAGCAACTAAATTAGATGAACTAAGTTATTTTACGTGAGTCCAAATTGACATGAAGGATTTAAGCAATCCAAAATTGAATTAAGAAGTTTTTACTTCAATGGTGATTGTTTATAAATAATTCAAATTTGGTATTAAATGATTAATGAAAATCTATTATTTATGTTAAATAATTAATAAAAATCTATTATTTATGTTAAATATGTTAAATAATAAGTTAAAGTACGTTGTCTGTGAAGAGCACGTGTAAGCTAGTTTTAGAGCATCTCATATGTCATGTCAGCTCTATTATAATGCAAATTTCTTATTACTAAGATAAGCTATACAAAATTTTGGTTTAACAACTATGCGTTAAAGTTGCTCTAAAATAGTACCTTTCATGATTTGGTCGCCTCTAATACAAATTTCACCAGGTTGATTACGAGGCAAAGAAGAATCATTTTCAGGATCAACAATTTTCATCTCAGCATTTCTAACAACGGTTCCGCATGCACCTGGTTTTACATCTATTGGTTCTTTCGCAAATGATAAACACATTGTTAACACCGGACCTGCCTCCGTCATCCCATATCCCTATAATCAATCAAATCAATATATCAGAATCACAATTTCAACCGCATCAAATGTGTTAGATTCAATCTATAATCTATATAGAATATAAGAAAATACCTGTCCAAGTTTGGCTTTAGGAAATTTGGCCCTAACAGAGTCCTCAAGTTCTTTACCAAGAGGGGCCCCACCAGATTTCAAAACCCTAATGGATGAAAGGTCATAGCTATCAAGTTCAGGTGACTTAGAAATAGCCAAAACAATGGGAGGCACAACAGGAGCAATGGTAACTCTGTATTTATGGACAAGTTCCAAAAATGCATGAATATCAAACTTTGGCATTAACAGAATGGAAGCTTTGGCTCTCAAACCACAAAGCAAAACGGAGTTGAGTGAGTAGATATGAAACATTGGAAGAACACAAAGTATCACATCTTCACTGTGGTAATATAGATTTGGATTTTCACCATCAACTTGTTGTGCTATGCTTGTTACTAATCCTTTGTGTGTTAGCATAACACCTTTAGGTAACCCTGTTGTTCCAGAAGAATATGGCAAAGCAACCACATCATCAGGATTGATCTCCACTTTTACCTGTTCAAATTTCTAAAATATCACTAACAAAATTTAAAATGCATTTTTTAATCATCTATAATACTAATTTATTTTTGTATGTATATGAAATGATGAAAATTTACATGCATAATTATGAAGTATTAGAAAGATCTTAAAGTCCCATTTTAGTCGGAGATAGAGCGTTGAAATAGTTTATATAGAGTGACACTCTCACCTTACCAACTGCTTTTGTAAAGTTGTGTTAGGCCAAACTCTACTATAAAGTACTAGTTTTAAACTCGAATGAATCATCTAATCTTATAATATCGATTTTTTTTTCTTTTTTTCGGTTTGTAGACAATTATATAATAGTTTTTTAAACATTAGTAAATAAAATGGTATATTATTTATTTATTTATTATACCATGCACTAGTTGGTAGTGAGTTGGAACCAAATGTACCACTCACCTTGTGAATGATATGTCACCACCTAATTCCACCTAAATTAGATGTTGGAGAATTCTAGCTTCAATAGTTCTTGACTTTTTTTTTTCTACATCAAATTATTATGTATATTCTAGACATTATATTACTAGTTTATATGTAACATAAAAAAAGAGTTCTATTTAACCGAATAAAATTATTTAAAAAATTATTTTCCATTATTTAATAATTGAAATATAATTTTAAATGAAAGAATGTATATTTTTTTACTAATAATGTAAAATCTATTTTTGCTAGTTTTTTTCATCGGTCAAATCAAAATGATACTTTAACTTAAAGTAAAACTGAAAATGATAATGTTGTAAACAAAAATTTTCATCAATTTTGACATTACCTCATCAATTTCTCTGTCATGAGGCTGAAGCAATTCACTGAAATGCATATGATTTTCTCCTTCTGGTATAAAATCGACAAAAACAAGCTTCACATTTTCCAAATCCTTAACTTTCTCATAGTAACAACCTTGTGTAACAATCAACTTAGTATTAGAAGCTTTTGCTTGTTTAGCAATCTCCGCAGCTGTAAAGAAAGGATTTGCGGCGGTCATTATAGCGCCGCGAAAAGAAGCGCCTAGAAAGGCGAACACGAATTCGGGACAATTCGGAAGAAGAACCATGATGATATCGCCTTGTTTGATCCCGAGTTTTTTGAAACCCGAGGCAACACGTCGGGCGGATAGCTCGACGTCGTTGTATGTGTAGATTTCGCCGGTTGGCGCATTGATGAGACATGGATGTGATCCATATTTTGGTAGATTTTCAAAGCAATAGGAATGAAGAGGAAGGTTTTTGGGAATGTGGATATCAGGAAGCTTAGACCTAAAAATGATTTCTTCTTCCATTTTTTGGATAGTCATTTGATTTGATTTGATGAAATTTATGTTGATGTTTGGTTTGTTTGTTCACTTAAGAAAGAACATGAATTTTAGTTGTAATATAGGACTTGTAGCCAGCCACATGAGAATTGGTTCAAAGGTGCTCGTGGTTGGTGAAGGGACAAAATCGTCAATTTTAAATATGTGAAATATATTATATGGTTGGTGGGTGATGTATGAATATGCATTATAGATCATGGATCATAGGGAAAAATAGTTGTTGGTGAGAGTGACATTTATTAAAATTATAGAATATTCAATTTTAATTTGTTCGTCTTTGTTTTAATTTTGATAAATTTTAAATATTAATTTATTTTAAAAATTAATAAAATATACAACTATTTAAATTTTAGATTGGTTAGTAGTTTTGGTTATATATATTTTTCTAAATAAATAGAATTTAGTTTTGATTTTTTTTTCTTTTTCTTTTTACCTACCACAAGACCATTTCAATTCAGTGTGTGGAGTGGAGTCACTTTTTTCCATTTGGACGGAACTTCACCAAATCTTATCCTTTTCACCAACCTCAAGACCATGATTGGCTTGTAATCATTCTGTATTTGTTAAATGGGCCTTGGCCCATCTACTTTTGTACCTGTCTCCAAGCCCACTGGGCCTTTGCTTTCCCTTTCTTTTCATCTAAAAATATATAAAAAAATGAGAAAGGGGGTTTACAATGAAATAAAGAGAGGGAAGGAATTCAAAAGTGAAAAGGAAATATTAAAGGAAAAATAATTGAGAGAATCTGATTTTGAGTGTTATAGATAGAAGATACATTTATGTTATGTTTCTTATTAATTAAAATATTAAAGCTATATATACATTTTTTTTCCTTTAATTTAATAACTTTTCTGTTTATGTATTAAGTATTTATGGCCTTAAATATGAAATATAATGAACACTAATTGTCATTATATTTTAAGACAGGTATTTAAATTATAATTAAAACATATATACGTTAGATGAATCAAAGTTAAACTCATATTGATGTTATTGAGTTGATTTAATAAAGATGAAAGGATCAGGTTGAAATGTTTCACTAAAAAGAATCAACCTAATGAACATAGTTACTTATAAGCAAAAATAAATAAATAAAAATCATCCAATTGTTTTTTTTCAAAATAAATGCTTAATTTTTTTGTAATTCTCATTTACAAAAACAAATAAAAATAAATTAATATAAAAAGTCATCACATATGCTTTGTGATAGTCATTTTTGTTTTATTGCAATGGTGGTTGGTGATTCCCTTCATTGTTTATTCTTTTGTTCTATTTTATTAATCATTTTTATTATTTTGATTATATGAATTGTGCAGGTTATAAATTATGTGTGATTTTGATGACAACAAAAGAATAAAATTAAATTAACCATAACATCATTAAAAAATGCACACTATCTAATCGATTAGAAAACTAAATGTATTTTAAAACATTTTTAAAATGTGAAAACTCTTACTAATCGATTAGGAAGTGTCATAATTAATTAGGTAAGAAAATTTTTCACTATCTAATCTATTAGAAATAGTGTATAACCAATTAAAGAGTGAACTTGCAACCGAATCAATTAGAAACCTTTTTTAATCAATTAGAAAGCAAACCTAGTTAAATTGTTTCTATATTTGTTAAGTTTAATCGATTAGCGCAATAGTCTAATCGACTAGAGAGTGACCACAACCCATTGATTATTTTCTTTTTGAGCCAATTTCTTCCTCCTATATAAGTTATAAAGGAGTTTGGTGCACTCTACTAAAGCATAAAAATATGATTTACTATTCCTCTTTCTCACTCACTCTTTTCATATTAAATGTTTTATACATTATTTAGTGTTGATAGAGCAGAAAACTTAAAATAAGAGTTGTGTAATTTGATGTTCTTATCAAATTGTGTTGTAGTTTTAATTCAAAAGCTTAGTTATCTTATAATATTGTAAGTGATATAAATGTTGCAAACAAAACTTGTGTAAAAGTTTGATGAAAGGAGGTTGTGAGATGAATCTGGTGTAAAAGCTCAAATTTGTTAGTGAAAATCTCAAGGGAAAACTCTTGAGAACTGGATTAGGTTGTGTGGTTTATGATGGGAAGGTCTTGATATTGAAATTTCCTTTGTTTGAAAATGCCTTAACAAATGGCTTATCTCTTTGATTTAAGCATGTGCATGTTGTGCATGTTTGGTGGTCCAACAATATTTCTATTTTGTATTTCTAAGTGTTACAAATTTGTTAATAGTTTCATTTAGATGTAAAATTGGAAACAAATATTTTCTCTCCTTAAGCTTTTGAAAATTAGCACTTTCTAATGGGATTGCAGTCTAGATTCAATCATTTGGTAGTGATATGGCCATTTTCCTTTGTCTTGGGGTGGCTATTCGATTATCCCAAATTTAGGTTAAGTCTAGTCCACACAACTATGAGGTTGATGATTGATTATTCAATATATTTTTCCTTTTTGTTGCTTTCTTTGAGGAGTAGAGGCTCATTCTCATTGGATTTGTCGACATCCTTCTTGCTTTTAGGGTTTTCTTTGTTGTTCTTGAAATTTTTTTCTTACTGAATTTTGAGGATGGCTAGGAAACAATCTATATAGGTTTTTAGGTCTACGTCTATTATGGCTACCACTTCCTTCCTAATGTGGTATTTCAGCTTATGTGCATTGTTGACGATATGGCCCTCAATGTGCCTAGAGTATGTCGGCATATGATGCAGTTGTATAACACCTGGTAGTTGATTACCCAAAACTGCACTCCCATTGTTTTTTCAATTCTCTCTCTATGGATGATACCATAAACACCTGATATCCTAATGACTTTGTTGTCGACCTGCTTAATATATGGAGGTTTCTCACAATTTAATTAAATCCTAGAGATTATCATGCAGGATATACCAAGATCTTCCTTGATCGATTAGGACTCTCTTAACATCGTAAATTGCCATTGTTTCCCTTGCCATTAAAGGGGCGTACAAAATTTGGTGTTTCGTTAACCAACTTTTTGTCATAAAATGAAATAAAATTGAAAAAGTGTTAATTAGAAATAGAAAGGTAATAGTTGTACAGGTGAATATATTTTCCGCATAAAGCAAATTTATGAAGTATGAAATTAAATGGGCAATGTGTTATTTTGAAAAGGCATAATAAAGACCTAGAACGCCCCAAATTTATGTACGTGGCACACAATCAATTAGGGGCAATATTGATTTTTCCAAAACAACAAATCTTCTTATGTTATGGATTTAATATTTATCACTTTTATTAGTAGTTATTTAAGCTAAGTTTGGAGTGTTTGAAACTATTTTATAGGTATTTCGAAGTCAAAAAAGAGAGTAAAACGTGGAACCAAAATTCTTTTATTGAGCATACACACACTTTGATAGGAGCACACATTCTCACCAAGAAACTAGGTCAGCATGCATACACCCTATTTATGCGTGTATGCTCATGCAAAACATTAACCTACATATGCACACCCTTACTGGCATATATACGCGAACAAATGAAGACTCAGACAAACGTACGTACATCTCACATTTTCATACCTACGAAACTCAAAACTCACGTCAACTTACATATCCCTAAGATAACATATACGCCCTCCATCAAAATAAAAGGGTGTGTACGCCCAACCCTGATTATGCACGCTCAAGTGTCTCTGTAAGACAAGTTCATGTCAAGATCTCTCGATCCTAGAGCCTTATTGTGGGTTATACAATAAAAAGATGAAATCTGTCTTATATCATTATGATGACATTATTATTTAGTGATTATTTGATATGACCGATGAAATCTTCAAATATTAAAACTTCTAGGAAACTCTATACTAGTAAATCACAAGTGATTTGACCGAAACATATATTAATAACGTGAATAAAAATAAAAGAACAAATGATTAAAAAAAACTTTAACTAACTAATCTGAATGAAAAGCTTATAATTAAATGATTTTGCTAAGAGAAATGTCTTAAAGATTGTTTAAAAATAAGTTAAATATGTCTATTCTCATTTTATTAAATACAAGAACTTGTTACAAAATTTTCATTTTTAGACAAGTAAAACAATATCCTTACAACACTCATTAGCATTTGCTATAATTTAAAAAGAAAGATGATATATATCGAATGGTGCACGCAGTGTTCTATTCTCCCAATGGAAAAGTTGTGCAAATCTACAATAATCAAGTTCTTTTCCAACAACAACCCACTTCATCTCTTGCTCATGCAACTCAACACACTAAAGGCTAAAATGGTATAGCAACTTTTGTTAATAATGAATCCTCCATTAAACCTGAAGCAAATGTGGGCAAGAAATCACTGACAGCACCATCCATGGAACACAAGTTCCTACAGAAAAATACACTCTAGTTAAAGAGATTATTAGAGCGGCATATAGAAAATGAAGATTGAGTCATGTACCTGTACAAGAAGAATGTATTGTATCTGATTCTTCTAATACTGGAAAAGTACTTTTCGTGGATCGAGTTGACCACTACAATAACTTGAAGGAACCGCAGATATTTCTTGTCTTCCTTTCCACTCTTCGCCAGGTTTGAGAGTGATTGCTTTTTCTACACAAGCAGACTGAACACACAGCATGTGTTTGTACTCGTCATCCCCCAAATCAGATATGGATTTCGCTTTCTTGTCCCACGGATTCCATACCACTAGAGATAAAAATGCACATTACTAGTAAACAATGAAAAAAATGCCATGCCACAAACACATTATATAAGTAATGATAAACTAACCAGCATCAGGAAGCCCGTCTTTTCGCACTTCAAAAGTTCTCTTCCTTTCATGATCTATGATAGCGATTTTCGTGGGAGTGCTAACGTAAACTTTGTCCACCTACATGGTCCAAGAAACAAAAATGAATTGAAAAAATATAACAACACCAGAAACTACTCTATTGATAACATATGCTCACTTCAGACTCGAATGTTATAGCATCTCCTTGTTCTGTAAATCGCTGTCTATTCTTCAAATTGTCTAGATAATCCAATGTCTCTAGTCCTTCTATTCGAACTTCACTGAACATAAGCAAGGTGAAAATTAGCCTATCATATATAGTAGAATTAGATGATGATTAAAAAATGTATAGACCAAGAATGTATGAGGCAAGAAAGCTATTGATATTGATATCGATTTATGAAAAATATATATGGCTCAGCAAAACCTGATATCGGTAACATAGAGGTATGTATGATAGGCAAATGTGAAGGTAAAAGATTTTCCATCTTTATTTGTGTTTCGAATTCGGGAGGTCATCATCAGATCACCTGTAGGTCCCAAACCTATCCGTAGGCGAAATTCATAACTGCAAGAAATGATGATAACATATTCTTTTAATCCAAAATATAAATTGCATATATTAGGCCTATTTTTTGACAGTTACCTGTGAGGCCAAATCTTTGAATCATCTTCGGAGTTTTTAAGAATCAAATCAATGAAAGCTCTACTACTGCTATTTGTTGGAAATGGAGGAGGATTAGGATCTAAGGTCCACAACTTGTTCCTTGCAAATCCATGATGTTCAAGAGAACCAAGATTTGAGAACTGCATATGGATATTAAGTACTTAAAGAAACAAACAACAAATGAAAACAAGGAAGCTCTATAAAATACACATACTTGAGGAAAACATATCGGAATGCCTCCACGTATAGATCTCGGAGGATTAAAATTAGCCTGCAATGATTCATGTGAAAAAGAATTGATGAATTTCAATGCTCTCAAACAAAATAAAAGAGCTATATATGCAAACTCGTTAATATTATTAGCTTTGTTCGCTCTCTTTTTCTCTCCCAAGTATATCCATTCCTACTCAAACCACCTAAGCTAAAACACATATTAATAAATAGTTTGATAAATACTGATTCATTTCAGCATTTAATTCATTTTTGGGACAAACATATATAGTTAAAAATAACTAAAATATTGTTAAAAGCTTCATTAAACAAGGATATTTTGGCACATTATGAAACAAAAAAACATATATTTATGGTTGAATAGGACATCATAGTTGGTTACCTTATTACTAACAAAGAGCAATTCTTCTCCACGTTCATTTTTCCAGGATGTTACCTGTCCTCCGTATAGATACACCTGCAAATGAAAATCATTCTCAAATATGATTAGGTTTTCTATTATGCATGTTATTCCAAATGATGTGATACATTGATGGATCGTAGGTATATATGAAATCAATTCATGAATGTGAATTGTGAAAATGAAATACCTCAGCAGAGAAGCCACGAACTTCTTTAAGAATGATCTTCTCTAAGCCATTAACGCCCATACACTGTTTTACGTATACCGGTTTTTGTGACATATCTCTCTCTTCTCTGATCCCAATCAATGGAAATGGAATGTCCTTCTTCCCCTCAATCAACATTTCTCATCTATTAATGTATATATATACATGCTTGAGGGAGAGAAAATAATTCCTTTATTCTTTTCTTTTAAATATAGGGGACATTTGTGTTTCTTTATTTTATAAATAAATATATATATATATATATATATATATATATATATATATATATATATATATATATATATATATATATATATATATATATATATATATATATATATATATATATATATATATATATATATATATATATATATATATATATATATATATATATATATATATATATATATATATATATATATATATATATATATATATATATATATATATATATATATATATATATGAAGTGGTGTTTTTGATCGGATTGATTATTTGTTTGAAAGATATGAAATGATTATTTTCAGTTTATTTTGTATGATTATATCAGAAAATTATGATAGGATTAGTTTAAAGAAACTTTATTTGGATGAATTTATAAAAATTCAAATTATAGTTAAATTATCAATGTTTAAAATTCAAGATAGGATAATAGATTAGATACAAAATATAATATGTTGCAAATTAAATTATAAAATACTAATGTTGATGAATTATGTTTGAAAGATATGAAATTGTAAAACATTGTCACATATTTTCATATCTAAGAAAATTAAATCTCATTTTAATTTTTGTTGAAACGAAACTTATATAATAGTTTTTTGAAATTTTAAATGATAATTGTGTTTGAATGTTATAATATGTTTATTTATAAAAATTTAGTGTTTTTTGTGATAATTAAATGTAAATCATTTATATCAAAAAGTTAAGATAAAATTTAAAAATTGGAAGCTAAAAATTCAATTTAATATTTTAGAAGAACTTTATAATTTTTCAAAGACTTGTGTTCTATCAATCTAATAAACGAGATATCCTAAGAACGAACACGTAAAGAAAAGAGGATGGAGTAGAAACCTTGACGCTACCATCTATATGAATAAAAAAATACTTTGTGAATCATGCTTTGGAGCATACGTGTTTCGCCCATTCCTATATCGTGACAAACAACCATTTTGTAGGTACCATAATTAATGTTTTCACGTTCAAATGTTTTTTTTGTGTGTTAAATGTAATTCATAGTGTGTTGAAACAAATTTGTTTTGGTGAGATTTGATTTGATTTTGAATATTTTGGACCTTTTATATTTTGCGCTTTTGTAAACCTAAAACTATAAATAGATGCATTGCTTTATAATCAAACATAGAACAGATTTCACAGTTGCAGAGTTTAGCAAGTGAAAGTTCAATAGTAATCAGAAATCCCACAGTTTGTGGGTAACACAATTTTCTCCAAATATTTTTTCTCTCATTCTTCTTTTTCTTGCTGTTTGTTTGTTATTTTTCTTCTCTTTTACTGTTCTTGATAACTCTTTACTTGTTATCACCATTACTATCATATTGTGGGTTTGTTCATCAATCTTGAGATCAAGATTGAAGGGAATTCTTCATAGGGTGTGAGGTGAATTTCCAACATCTGGTATCAAGAGATCCGGTTGAAAGATTCAAGGAAGGAAGATAGTGATGACGATGAACTATCTGAACGGCAACTTTCCGGCGACCCTGTCAATTCTCAAGAAAGACAATTATGAGAATTGGTGCAAGCAGATTAAGGTGATTTTCTGTTATCAAGATCTTTGGGATCTTGTGAAGGACGGAGTAAGATCGCTTGGGGAGAACGCAACGGAGGCGGAAAAGGCTGCGACAAAGAATTGAAGAAGAAGGATTATAAAGCACTCTTTACAATTCATTAGTGTGTTGATCCTGATAACTTTGAAAAAGTTAGTGATGTTGATTCAGCAAAAGAAGCATGGGAGATTCTTGAAAAGTCGTTTGGAGGCGGAGAGAAGGTGAAAGAGGTGAGGTTACAAACTCACAAGAGAACCTATGAGTTGCTTCAGATGGAAGACAACGAAAGCATTACAGATTTCTTCACCAGAGTTACAAAGTTGGTGAATCAAATCAAAGTATGTGGAGAAGCGCTGACGACGAAATCAATTGTCTCAAAGATTTTGAGATCGTTGGCTCTAAAATTCGACCACGTGGTAGTTGCCATAGAAGAGTCGAAAAATCTGTCAGTGTTGACGAAGGAAGAGCTTCAAGGGACTCTTAAGTCTCATGAACAGAAGATGGCTGAAAGAGCTGCAGGAAAGTCGAAAGATATGGCTTTGCAGGCGCAGTCAGAAAAGGAAAGAAAGGGCAAAGGTAGCTGGAATGGCAACAAAGGAGGAAACCATTCAAATCAGAAGAAACCTTGGAACCAAGGCAACCAGAGAGGTGGTGTTGCAGGTAAAGGAAGAGGTGGTGGTCGAAAGACAGACAAAAGCCACATTCAATGTTTCAATTGCCAGAAGTATGGTCATTATGTTAGTGATTGTCCAGAAAGGAAGAGAAATCAAGAGACTGATGCAAAGCTGGCGAAACATGAAGAAGAAGAAACGTTGCTAATGGTCACAACAAAATATGAAGAAAGATTCCAAGATCAATGGTCCTTGGACTCAAAATGCTCATCACACATGACTGGAAGGAAAGATTGGTTTGTCAACATGAAGCCCTTGTCGAAGAACACAGTGAAGTTTGCAAATGACAACACTCTAGCAGCTGAAGGTGTTGGTGATGTTCTGATTATGAGGAAAGATGGCAAAAGGTCAACAATTTCCAATGTGTTGTACATACCAGGCATGAAAAGTAATTTGCTCAGTATAGGACAGCTTGTCGAAAAGAACTACAAGGTAGTTGTCAAAGACAAGATGATGAGAGTTCTCGACGTAGGTGGTAAATTAATCTTGAAGGCTCCAATGTCTCAGAATAGGACCTTCAAGATTGAACTCAATGTGATGGAGCACAAGTGTCTAGCAACTACAGAGAGCAGAGATGGGTGGTTATGGCATTTTCGACTAGGTCATCTCAACTTTAATGACATCAGAGAACTGAAGAGAAGAAATATGGTTTCAGGATTACCAGAAATCGACATTCCAAGTGAAGTCTATGAGGAGTGTGTTCAGTCGAAATAACACAAGAATAGCTTCAGCAAGGATGCAGGAAGGAAGTCGAAGGCAATACTTGAAGTCATATACTCTGATGTATGTGGTCCAATCCAGGTGGATTCGATTCGTGACAATAGATACTTTGTCACGTTTATAGATGATTACAGTCGAAAGTTGTGGAATTACCTCATCAAGAAGAAAAGTGATGTGATTGAGGTATTTTCCAGATTCAAGTCCATGGTCGAAAGACAGAGTGGTCGAAAGCTGAAAATTCTGAGGACTGATGGTGGTGGAGAGTATGTGTCGAAAGAGTTCGATACACTATGTGTAAAAGAAGGGATTGTGCATGAGGTGGTGCCACCCTACACTCCACAGCAAAATGAGATTGCAGAATGCAAGAACAGAACCATCATGAATATGGTGAGAAGTATGTTGAATGGAAAGCATCTACCCAAAGAATTATGTGGAGAAGTAGTTTCGACAGCAACATATATATTGAACAGATGTCTGACGAAGAAGCTTGAAGGAATCACACCAGAAGAATTTTGGTCTGGTGTTAAGCCTAGTCTCAGTCACTTAAAGGTGTTCGGATCTATAGCACATAGACATGTGCCAGATCAGTTGAGAAGGAAGCTTGATGATAAGTCAAATTAGATGGTCTTGATAGAATATCATTCGACAGGAGGTTACAAGTTGTTCGACCCAGTGAATAAGCAGGTAGTGATCAGCAGGGACGTGATCATAGATGAGCTTAAAGAATGGTATTGGGCTGAGAATGCCAAGAAGGATTCAGTGAGAATCTCTTGTGAAGAACCAGCCACTGAAGTCGAAATAGAAGTTCGACAGGAACCAGTTGCAGATGAAGCAGGTTCAAGCAGACCTTGATGAACAAGACACATGCCTGCAAGGTTGCAAGAATGTGTAATTATATCAGATGATGTAATCGATGAAGAGGGTGAGCTGGGACATTATGCTTTCTACGCAGATGTCGAATCAGTCAATGCAGCTGAGGCATTGAAAGATTCGAAGTGGGTGAAAGAAATAATTGAAGAGTTGGAGTCCATCGAAGTCAATGATACATGGTCACTTGTCAAATTGTCGCAAGGCAAGAAGGCAATTGATGTGAAGTGGGTTTACAAGGTGAAGGTAAATCCTAAAGGAGAAGTAACTCGACACAAGGCGAGACTTGTGGCGAAAGGATTTCTTCATAAGGAAGGAATCGACTTCGATGAAGTATTCGCACCTGTTGCTAGAATCGAAACAATCAGGTTGGTTGTTGGTCTAGCAAATATTAACAACTGGCACACATGTCAGATGGACGTGAAGTATGCATTCCTTAATGGCCCCTTAGAAGAAGAATTTTATGTTGCACAACCAGCTGGGTTTGTGAAACAAGGCGAAGAAAGAATGGTGTACAGGCATCAAAAGCCCTGTATGGACTTAAGCAAGCTCCAAAAGCTTGGAATAAGAAAATCGACAACTTCTTAAGGGAGAAGGAATTTGTGAAGTGTACAACTGAGCATGGAGTATTGATAACACGAAATCATATAGATATTTTTATGCATAATTCAACTAAAGTTTAACCGTTTTCGATCCGATTTCGGGTTATTTCCGTGTTATTTGTCTGATGTTTTGCAGGTATTCAACGATCACGTCTAAACAAGGCAACATAAAGAAAAGAAGCAATCTCAGATGAAATATGGACGAAAAAGGAGTGAAAACACAATGAAAAGCGCAGGAAGCTGTTTTTGCTGATGTGACGACCATCACAGCTCCATGACGACCGTCACACGGGTGACGACCGTCACACCTTGTGATGACCGTCATGCAGGCAAAAACGCCTCACTTCAATTACACGTTAAAGAATCAGTTCCAATTCCCACAGAGTGAACCATGACTCCCTAAATTATCTGCCTCAAAGTCCATCACCTTCAATGATAACCGTTGGAACTCCACTTCTATAAAAAGGGAAGAAAGGGACCTCAGAAGGGGTGCTGCATTCATACAACGAAGTGCTGCCAAATTTATTTTCCAGAGCATATTTTCCAGCAATATTCTTATTTGTTTCTCTTTACCTTTCCTGTATTCCATTTTTCATTCTTCTGTAATTTCTACTTTCACTGTACGATCAAATTGGCATTAAAGACCAGAATCCTGCCAACATCTGTGGAGGATCTACCCAAAGGCCAATTGGCATATTTACAGGTTTCTCATTTCAATCGATTCCAGTTTTATTATAATGCAAATCATTATTTATTATTTTTATTTATATTTTATCTTTCCCAAATCCATGTCTAGCTAAACTTAGGTAATCGATATGTAGTAATAATTCGAATGGGATTTGATAACAACTGGTTGAAAAACTTTCTTTTCAAAAAAGTAATTTATGGTCTGAGTGTTTAAAATTGATTTACTGAATAAACTTCGTCGCGAAAGCGAGAACTTATTTAAAAGTAGTTTTGCCACGAAAGTGGGAAATTAATTAAGATACGAACCAACAAGCGAAAGCTGCGGTAAGGTCAGATAGTAAACACTAGTCATTCATTTTAATAACAGCGAAAGCACTTTAAAATGAATTAGAACTTAGAGATTTCCAAAAAGTAATTTTAACCCCGAATGGGATACGAAAGTGTACGTTTGGCCCTTAGGATTATGATTAGCGTCAATAACCATTGTGAGGCGAGAGTCTTCAAATCACCATTTTCTGCTTAAATAAACTTTGAAAATCATTTCATACACCAGTAACTTATCAAATCCCTGAAGAACACAATTACTACGTATCGATTCAATCATTTATAATCTAAATAGTATTCTTAGTTCCCTTTTTAGTGACAAATCTTATTCCCTTAAACATATTCTACCTAGCTAAACATAGTAACTCCCGAGAACACTAGTTTGATTACGAGTCCCTGTGGGATCGATATCTATTATTACTATGCGATAGACTGTGCACTTGCAGTTAGGTTGTATTAGACATAGAAAGTCGCGATCAAGTATATGTAGAAGAAGCAATGACGAATTGCTTATACTATGTCTATATGTTGATGATTTGTTGATAACAGAGAGTTGCAAGAAGGAGATCGAAGATTTCAAACATGACCTGAGTGAGGAGTTTGAAATGTCAAACTTGGGAAATCTCTCATATTTCCCTAGCATCCAATTCTACAAGACAAGTAGAGGTTTGATGATGCACCAAAGAAGATATGCAGGCGAAATACTCAAGAGATTTGAGATGCAAGATTGCAACCAAACTTCTACTCTAGCTGAGCCCAGATTGCAATTGTCGGATGATTTAGATGAAGATGATGTCGACCCAACCCAATACATAAGACTTATTAGGTCACTTGGATACCTTTGTCACACAAGGCCTGACTTAGCATACAATGTTGGTATGGTAAGTAGATTCATGCAGAAGCCAAAGGTATCACACCTAGCAGCGACGAAGAGGATACTGAGGTATCTGAAAGGAACTCTCGACTATGGCATTTTGTTTCCAGCAGCTGATGAAGGAAAAGAATGCAAGTTAGTGGGATACACAGACTCTAGTTGGTGTAGTGATGTTGAGGTCAAAAATCCACAACTGAGTATGTGTTTATGTTAGGTGGTGCACCAGTTGCTTGGAATTCGAGAAAGGAACCAGTAGTGGCATTGTCATCATGCGAAGCAGAATATATAGTTGCTTCTCTTTGTGTATGTCAAGCAACTTGGATGGTGAATTTGGTCGAAGAAATCACTGGGAAGAATCATGGAGCAATTACCATGAAGATAGACAGCATGTCAGCTATCAACTTGGCGAAGAATCCAATAGCTCATGGTCGAAGCAAGCACGTCGAAATGAGGTTCCATTATCTTCGAGAGCAGGTAGCAGAAGGGAAGATAAAGTTGGAACACTGCAGAACTGAGAATCAGATTGCAGATATCATGACGAAGGGAGTGCAGGTCGAAGCCTTCAGAAGACTAAGAGTCATGATGAATGTAGACAGTTTAGACACAATGAATTAGGTGGTGTGTTAAATGTAACTCATAGTGTGTTGAAACAGATTTGTTTTGATGAGATTTGATTTTGAATATTTTGAGTCTTTTATGTTTTGGGCTTTTGTAAACCTAAAACTATAAATAGGTGTCTTGTTTTGTAATCAAACATAGAACAGATTTCATAGTTGCAGAGTTTAGCAAGTGAAAGTTCAATAGTAATCAGAAATCCCACAGTTTGTGGGTAACACAAATTTCTCCAAATATTTCTTCTCTCATTCTTCTCTTTCTTGCTGTTTGTTTGTTATTCTTCTTCTCTTTTGTTGTTCTTGATAACTCTTTATTTGTTATCACCATTACTATCATATTGTGGGTTTGTTCATCAATCTTGAGATCAAGATTGAAGGGAATTCTTCATAGGGTGTGAGGTGAATTTCCAACATTTAGATATTCATTTTTTAGATCCTTTTGTATTAGTCTTTGAAACTTCTTATCTTTCAATGTATGAGTTATGATTATGACATCCCTTAATACAATAAGAGCACAGAGTACTAGAATCACATCCTTTAAAAATGATCTCATCAACATATTTGATATCTCATTGTTGATGTTAACCTCATAGATCATTGAAGCTAATATGCTTCTATATATGGTGTTAGACATGAATTTTTGAAAATACTATCGTACTTGCACACAATTTCTTAAGGAGATTAAGATGTTTCATATTTTAAAACTTTGGTTTTTGTTTTAAAAATATCAATCTCTTTCTCCAAAATATTGTGATGCTCTAATGAAAGACCATAAATCTTGTAAAGATTTTTTTCCCAAGCAATTCATTTAAAGAAAGAACAAGTTCATTGTGTGACAAATTTGAAAGACCTCATGATCTTTGTCAATGCATGTGGTACCATCTAGATCCACACCATAACATGTTTGCCTTTATAGCATAGTTAATATGGTCTTCATCTTCTCTATCATATGATTGGTTATGATCATTTCATGTTGTCATGTTACCATGAGAACATTCTTCTTTCCCTTAAAGTGTTCAGGTTGTTTGCATTTATAGAAAATAACCTTCTTGAAATTTTTGGAATTTTTGGAATGCAACTTTCATAATATCTAGCTTCATAAAAGCTATGGTTTGCCTATTTTGTCTTCTGTTTTATCCTTGGAATTTTTGGAATGCAACTTTCATAATATCTAGCTTCATAAAAGCTACGGTTTGCCTATTTTTGCAAAAATGCCCATTATACCATGTTACCAAACCAAACATAGGCTTATAAGATTTAGTTTTGAAAACAAGAAAATGGATTCAAATCTTTAAACATTCAATTCTTTATTTTTCTTTAAACAAATTTCGGACTGTCTCTTAGTTTACCTTCTCTCACATGTTATTTCTTCCAAAATAAACATCTATCATCTCCTTTGTTTGCCTAAACTTTTATCTCATTAAATAGAATTGAGTCCATAAATCAAATGAAGGTATGAAAAATAGTGTGATATTGTCAAAATGTGCAAGTTTAATCTATTATAACTTAAAATTAGATAGATGGATACAAAGAAACGGTCGAAATTTAAAACATCATAAAAAAATGATTATCAATTTCATGTTTCACTCAATGAATAGCAAGTATTACATTCTTATGCCCCCAAGATAAAAAAGAACATTACATTCAAATAGTATTTTAACCGACAAGAATATATAGCATCAAGTAGCCTTGAATGAATTCTAGAGACGATAATTGAAGGTTCAGAAAGATTCACTTACGTGCACTATAATTTACAAGAAGGAAATAACACTAAAATCATTTACAAAAATTAATTATGAACATCCAATCTGCACTAACAAGGAGCTACCTAAAAGCAACATAGTAGTCAATATCTAGTAAATGAATGTTCTATTTGGTCACAATTCTCCTTTCTCCTTGCACCTTAAATGAATTTAAGTGCCCAAGAAGAACTTAGATTTAAGGAAAATCCAAGTGTCAACTTAAACAACAGAATCACGTCTGAAATCCTAATTCAAGTATCCATTTCGACAATCCAATCACACCTATTATTTTACAAGACATAACATGTTAGAATGTGAAGTCCCATTATTCTGAAAAGGATCTTAGAATATGTTTGATTCTACCTGAGCATTATCTGTTTTCAATTTTTGAAGCTCTTCCTGGGTGCATATGAGCCTAAGATGATACAAAGCAAGGTTAAGTTGTAAGTGGCCAATATCATAGCTTATAATCGAATCTAACTCACTTTTATAGTACAATACCTCCACTGCAAGTCAGTTATCTCATGAAGTAGTTCCTTTTCCCTCTCGTGAGCTGATTCAAGCTGCAATAATTAAAGGCATTCAAATAAGCTAACCTTCAGAATTCACTTTTGAGAAGTACATCATATAAATTATATAATATTCTAAAATGCATACCAAGGATTTCTCCATTGTTGCTATTTGTGCAGGGGTAGTTGTGCTATCAGCTGCACAGTTGACAAACAAGAACTTCAAATTATAAATATAAGAAGAATAAAAGAAATTAATGAAAAAGGTTGATAAAATCAATAGATAGAGATCGCACCAGCAGATTCACCAGCGGTAATTTGCCTCATTAAAGTTAGAATGGTTTCCTGTTAAAATGTCATGAACAAAAAACAGTTACTCTTGGATATTATCAGGAGGATGTAGAATAGAATCATATAAGACTGAACATACCCTCTGAAAAATATTTGTCTGCAGCACAGAGTGCAACACTGGGAACAGAGAGCAGACAGAAATATTTGATGAAGTAGCATCTGATACTGTTGATAATAACGGTAAAGGTGAATGTAGAGGAGCAGCATTATGCTGGCCTATGAACTGCAACCCATATAATGTTTCAGTAAATTAGGAGTTATACCAAACACCATAAATGCGCAAGTACAACAACAGCAATAATCATAAGGCAAATGAGCATTAACAAGTAACCCTGCAAAACACTAGTTTAAGTTACCAGTGTATCAAATGTTCTACTTTTCAGTCATTTTTTTATTTCTTCATTCTTTAACTTCATTAGCACTCATTAAATGTTTGATCGAATTCATTTATTTAACTAACAAACAAGCTCAATTTTCGGAGTCAAAGTTAAACTCTTGGGTTTGATACACTAGCTTAATCAATTTAGAAAATCATTGGGAGAGAATTTTAATAAGGACAGTAGTAATCAAAACATCAATGATGAATGAGTCAACCTCAAACTTCATTCTGTTTTGTAACTTAGGCTCAATCTTTAAACTACTAGAAGTTTAAATAACTGAGTTAAGGTTTAGCATACTTTGCTTTTCACAAGCAATCATATACTTCAAATTCAAATGGTTGGCTTTTTTTTAGTGAATGTTTGGAATAAGTGAATTTCATAAAATAACTGTGGCACTGTGATTTTGTTGAACTTTCAAAGTATAGATTTGGTGACACATCGTGATTCTATCAAACTATCTATCAAACTAACAGCCAAATTAGACATGCACATAACAGACTTGCACCTCTAACGGTGAGAACTGATGTTTTTGTGTATTCTCCATAAATTGTATGTGAATTCAGATACTTGTGTGCCTCTTACTATTATTAAGATACGGTCAACATATCTTTGAAATCTATGTGCAAGAAAAAAATACAAATTGGGCATCAAAAGCTTAGCTTAGAGCAGTAGATATATTTTGGGGGGATTCCCCATCTAAAGAAGAGTAGGTGGCACTGATGCAAACCTCTAAACAACCAACCTGCATGCTGTGACTTTTTTGCAGTACAGGAGAAGGGGTCACCTGAAAGAAACCTTACCATTCAGTCTCCAAGAAAGGTGAAATATCAGTGAAAGTTATTTCTTACCTTTTCTGGGTCAACGTTCTCAGATGTAACTTTAAAACGTCCTCTTTGTTGAACAACCGGTACCTTTGCTTTATCATCAGTTTCATCAGAATTAACTGCTACAGAAGTGCTTATTAGTTAGAAAGAAATGCAGGAGTGAATAGTGGTGCTTGAGGACTTCAAGAGCACAAAATTTGTGCTCCACCCTTGGAATTAGAAACAAGGCATACGATCAGACAAAGTAGTAAGATGAGCAGGTACCTGATGATTTTGAGGCTTTAGAAGGAAGTTCAGTCAGCACATCTTCTCCGTTCTGGTGCACTGAATTTGAATTGGCATTTGAGACAGGCAGAGTTGGTAGCTTCTCACTGTCATTTATATTGCTAAATATTAAAGCCGATGATAGATTAGAGAAGTGTTTGATTTCCTTAATAAATGTTTGTCAATATTAAACATAATGGTTTGTGTTAATTTAAAATGATTGTAAAATAAAATAAAATAAAAAGTTGAGGTATTATAGTAGCTGTCTATACAAAAGTAGCTTTGAATGTAACCATATTGCACAAATGTCTATTTTGTTAGCTTAGATATATTTTTAAAATTTTGATGCATTTAGGAATTGTGATGGAATCACATATATTAATAATCAAAATGTGGTGTGAAATGTGAATGATTGAAATGCATCAAGGTTTTTGAAATATTCTCTATCTTCTTAACACTAAAGGAAAATAAGAGCATCTATACAGCCAAATTGGAGTTGGCTTATTCCTTTTGTTTGGGCCCATGTTTATTGGGGTGACAAAACCAACAGGAGGGGTTAAATATTAACATATAGTAACTATGAAGTTTTCTGAAATAAATATTAACAGATTATTTAATTCAAAATTAAATTAAATTAACTCGAAGCATAATTTAAGTATTCACCATTCTGCTCGAATAGGTGGAATCGTAACTTCCGGTAATATGCTTGATGAAGCTCTTCTATGATGAGAATGGACAGCCATGCTTCCACCATTTTCTGCATCACATTTTTCACCTAAACTATGGTCCACATGATCATCTCGCCCGGAAGAAGTTTGTGGTTCGTGGCTTGAACTGGTGATACTGGAGTCATCATCACATTTTTCAATCTTAGTCCTGGAAATGACAAGATAAAAAAGCATTGATCCATGATGTGTATTGACAAAAGTTCTATTTCTACCTGTAAAGACAGAGGTAAAGTTCATTTATTTTTAAATAAAATATCTCAAGCCACCATTAGTGCATAGTGTAAAAGTTGTGGAGTTTAGGTATTTCAAAAGTATAACAATTCAACAATTTGACATCAGCCACGTGTTAGAGACATACTTGTCATCATTTACTGTGGAATCAACTACAGGAACAGAAGCTGATTGATTATGCATTCCATCAATTTCCTCCTATAAAGAATTAGTCATCAGTACAAAATTAGCAATGAAAAATAAGAAAAAGGAAATAAAGAAGGAAAGATAAGCTATATTTGTAGAAATATATGTTGGAAATATAATCTTAATACTATTATACAAAGAGAATTTGTAAATACACTACCAAGTCAGCAGTTTGACGAGTTTGCTGTTGCTTATCTTGTCCATCAAGAGTTGATAATGAAGATGAACTTGCCACGTGATTGATATCTGATATAGCATCATCAAAATCGTTGATCTAAAATAAATAAAAGCTATAATTAGAACTTTTTAACTAGAGGAATGAGTCAAAAGTGTAATATTGGACATGAGTGTACCAAGGAAGCCTGGGTCTTCATATCTTCAAGATTAAAGTTCCAACCGCTAATGCCTCGTTTGTATTCACTCTGCAGTACAGGGGATTAAACACATCATAACAATGTTATAAGCTTGCCATCGAATCGGTATCAATGAGAAAATAGCCACCAGAAAAAGAAAAGATAATAATCAAACCCATTTATTGTACTTCATTGTGTACAACATACAATGACACACACAAACACACACATGCGCGAAGAGACACAAACAAAGACATTATCTGACTATGCTCAGGTTTGCCTGCACTCTGGTTTGACCAACAACTAAGTATAACACTAGAAGTACTATAACCATAAGTAGAATTTTATTATAAAAAAAGGTGTATTATCTTATGGGACATGTTGAGTTCAAATAAGTAAATGGGGAAGCAATACAGTACTAAGACATTGTATTTTGGTACCTGTGATAATTCCTCCATCTGTCCATCTGGCATTTTCTTTTGTGCAAGCATGTCTTCTTCTTTTCTCTGTGAAAGAAAAATCAATTCAAATAAATATTATAAAAAGGAGTATATCATAACAGGGGTGGAAAGGAGGAAAAATAAATATATAAGATATGTTAAATTAAAGTGGAAGCAACCTTTAGGATTTCCATGCGAGCACCCAAAGCAGGCAACCCCTCCAAAAGTGTGCGTGAAATATAATCATTTGAGCGTGCTTGCTTAAAGAATGAATGCTTTAACAACCTGTTAGCAGATGGTCGTTTTGAAGGATCCTTAACCAAACAACAAGCAATCATCTGCTTAAACGACTGGAAAGAAATAAAGAATAAAAATATTAGCTGGAAAAAGTCATAGAGGAGTTGAATTTGCTTGCAAGCAATCAGTAAAAAAGGTGGAATCAAACTGAGGTGAGCTGACCTTAGAGAATTTCCTATCACTTTCGTAGTCAAGGCCAGGGGGTGCATTTTGCAAAGTCATAAGCAATACCTGGAAAGTTCAATTATGAAATTAAACTAAACAAAAATGAGATAAAATATTATGTACTTTCTGCAAATAACTTTATACATGCTCACACACCTTCAAAGGTGGATATTTTGAAAAAGGAGCATGGCCGTGGGCAAGCTCCAATGCAGTTATGCCAAATGACCAAATGTCAGCTCTGGAAGATTAGTTTTGAAGTAAATTAATATTAGCATTGTCAATAAGCCAGGGTAATTAAACAAAATTTTAGAATGAGGGGTTGCAACACAAGTACACAATCATTGATATTATTTGAGAAAATTTTAGCTAGTTAAATAATAAATGTACAGTTACAATTTTAATAAATTACTAAAATTGTGGTCAAATAACAATAAAAATCAAGCTCTAGTGAATCAGGATCATTAATATTGCAGAAACTTTGCAATCACCACCATTTATATATTGCAGAAAATTATGATGATCAATTAATAATTATTGAAAATACTTAATTATGGTATAAAATTGTCATCATCAAATAAAATCAATGATGCATTAAGAGAGAAAGAACATACTTGAAGTTATAACCATGCAATTGTTCCATAACCTCAGGTGCCATCCAACAAGGAGTTCCAACAAAAGTATTTCTCGACCGTTGTCGATCACCGGAATCAAAAAGACAAGCCGAAACACCGAAATCGCCGAGCTTAATGGCACCACGAGAATCAATCAAAACATTACCAGCCTTAACATCACGATGAATATGACCATGATGATGAAGATACTCTAAACCCTTCAAGACCTCTCTGAGCACAGTTGCAATAACAACCTCTTCAAATCCCTCCGGATGTGCAGCTTTCAATATATGAAGACACGAACCACCCGCCATAAACGGCATCACAACCCATAGATTGTGATCGCTCACGAATGAACAGTGTGATTTCAATACGTTAGGATGGTCCACTAACACCATTGTTTGCGCTTCACGAGATATATTATTCTGCATTCATTCATTCATTCATCCGTTATTCCACTAATTAATAATTATTCGATTAATTAATCAATAATCATGCATCATTAACTACTAATCATCAGAAATTAAGAAATTAAAAAAATCGTGTTAATAATTTTTCTAAATTGATTTGTGTTCTCCAAGTGCATGCAATTACGGAAGGTTTTAGAGATTTCCAAAAGTAATTTACAACGATAATAGAAAGGTGCATGTAATGCATTTGTTGAAACGAAAACGATTGTGATGATGATTGATTACCAGATCGCAGTTGTCACGTTCGAAGTCAAGAATTTTGATGGCGACGATCTCGCTGAAAGGAACACAAATAGCACGATGAACGGAAGCACTAACGCCTTGTCCAATCTCTTCGTGGAGAAGGTAATGTTCGGCGCCAATAGGATACTTTTTCTTCTCGGTTTCCTTTTCCTTGTCTCTGTCTTTATCTTTATCCTTCATGTTGAACGATGATCAAAAGGTATAATCGGAGGTGGCAGTTACGGTGGCCGGAGAATGGCGGAGAATGGTGATGCGATGAGGATGAAGAAGAAAAGAAAAACAAAAAAAGTGACGATAGAGTAATAATGAATGAAAATGGAAAAAAAAAATAGGAATCGGAAGTGATACGTAATGATATAATTGAATGTATTTGGGTAATTCCGCAGATTTCTCGTGAAATCAAACAAATCAATATATTTTTTTTGTTGTGATTTTCTTTTTCTTTTTTAATTTTGATTATTGTTATTATGAGTTTTATGAGGCTTTATTGGATGTCCGCAAACAGGGGAGTGTTCTGTTTTGCCATCACCCGCCACCCCTCCTCTCTTTCTATGCAACAAACTTCCTTACGTATTTATAATAAAATATTAATATTAGTAAAATATATGTAATTTGATTTATAAATTAATGAAACAAAATTAAATTATAATTTCACCAATAAAAATACATTATTTTTCATTCATTAAAATTAATCAATCAGCAATATCTGATTCATTGTCCGACTAATTTGATTCGAGAAAATGGTTTAAATTCCTCCCAATTACAAATATAAAAAATATGAACCAACTAACTATCGGTTGTTATATAATTTACTTGACACCCTTTTCTACACCTTATATCTAATTTTCTGTTCACAAATACTTGAACAAATTCCTCAGAACATGGTTAATAGTGTGTATTTTATTGGTTAATGAAGTAGTGAAAGTGGTAAATAAATTATAGATAAAATAATTGGTTAATGATATAGATTTTTGTAGTTAATGCAACTGTGAAGTTGGTTAATGCGCAATCTTATATTTGTGTTATAAAATAAAATTTAAAAATAAATAGTTTTTTTAAAAAAATTAATATTTTTAAAAGATATATTATTTTAATAAAAAAATATTGTTTACTGTATAAATACGATGAACAGTATATACGGTGTAAATATTGAGTGTAGAAAAGGGTGTAAGAATAATATTTTTCTATTTATATTTATCATAAATATAAATTTTAATACTATTAATTATATTTAAATAAATATGTAATAGTATTTATAATGATAATTAATATATCATATTGTTATAAAAGGAATATCAAATATACAAACATCAATGGATGCTATTATATTATTTTGATCGTTTATAAAGTTTGATAGAATCGTAATATGTAATGTAAATGTTATATGACAGAAATTGATAGATGTAAATCATCAGATTTACACATTAATTTAAAAATAATTTTAATAAAATTATAAATAATACACTTTTTTTTATTAGGATAAGTTGTATATCTTTTTTCATATATATATTTTCATATTTACATTAATGACTTATATTTTTAAAATTTATTAACTTACATCTTATTATAAATTTAAAATTTAATATATAAATATTTATAAATATATAATAATATTTAGATTTGTAATTAATATTATGTATTATTTTAAAAGGAATATCATGTATTATTTTAAAAATTTAATCAAAATGCATTGACAATATAAAAAGATTATATACTATCGATGAACGTTAGATGTAAAAAAAAGTTTAACTTTTATTTTAATAACATATAAAGACAAACGGATAATCGTGATGAATTGATAATGTAAAACTTTTTATACTATTTGAATATAGTAATTAATCTTTTATTTTGAAAGGAAGATCAAATAAAATAGTATTTATAGTTTTTATAGTATCTATAGTTATAGTTGTAATTTACACTATTGATGAACACAAAGGTCATGATGAACATGCAAAGATTGCAATGGAAGACTTTTATCATTGGTCTAATTTAAATTATTTTATTCAAGTGTTAATATTAAATTTGATTTGCGTCCTTTCTTATTATTTGGTTTTTGGGTATAATAATTTTGAGTTTAGTTAATTTTGATAATGTTTTTAAAAAATTCTTGTAATGTTTAGAGTGTCTAGAAATTTCGTAAGGTTGTAATATTTTCTAGAATACTCTTTAAATTTTTAGAGTTGAGAACTCTTAGAAGTAGTGTGTTTAGAGTTATCCTTAAAGTACTATAAATAGAGATGTAATCCTACACTTTTGCATCAATAGAAAATACAAAATTCTCTTCCGTAAAGAATTCTCCTACCTATCAAGTTACTATTCAAGCCTCCAATATTTCCACCACTTTCCCTCAACACAAAAGGCTTTATTTCCAACAAAGTGGTACCGGAGTTTTAAGGTCTTCAAAAGATGGTGAATGGAGGTTTCACTTTTCAAATGTCGATGAGCACAAAGAACAACTATGACAATTGAAGTATCAAAATAATGGCATTACCAGGAGCTCAGGATGTGTGGGATATCGTTGAAAAAGGCTTCAAGGAGCAAGATGAAGTCATGTTAAGCCAAGGTGTAAAGGAAACATTGAAGGAGTCAAGAAAAAGAGACAAGAAAGCTTTCATTCTTATTTATCAATCGGTGGATGAAGATACATTTGAGAAGATCTCCAACGCAACGCAATGAAAAAGATTCGTCTTCAAACTCTTAGAGGTGACTTTGAACATTTATTTATGGAAGAGTTCAAGTTAATTTCTGATTATTTTTCTCGAGTGTTGTCTGCAGTCAATCAACTTAAAAAAATGGTGAAGATGTTCGTGAGGTGAAAGTCATGGAGTAAATACTTCGCACTTTAAATCCAAGTTTTGACTTCATTATTACCAACATTGAAGAAAACAAGGATTTAAAGACCATGACTATTTAGCCACTCATGGGTTCCTTACAAGCATACGAAGAAAAATTAAACAAAAGGAGGCTATGGAGCAACTACTACAACTCAACACAAAGGAAGCATACTTTGCAAATTACAAGAGTCAAAGAAGACGAGATTGTGGCCGAGATCGTGAACGTAGACGAGGACATGTAGGAGAAGGAAGAGGCGGTTACAACAACTACTTAGACAACTTCAACAATGGAGAAAGAAGTTGAAATCCACAAGCAACAAAAGGTCGTGGAAAAAGAAATTCATGGTCGAGGTGTGACAAATAACAAATCAAGTACTTCAATTACAACAAGGTTGGTACGTATCTGAGTGTAAATTCTCGAATAATGTTGCGGAGAAAGATAACTTTGTAGAAGAAAAAGGTAGGGAAGAAGAAAGTTCACTTCGCGCGTGCCAAAACCATGTTAAAGAGAAAAGAAACAAGTGATACCTCGACACCTGTGCAAGCAACCACATGTACAGCGATCGAAGCATGTTCGTAGAGATCAATGAAGCAACAATTGACAATGTCTCATTTGGAGATGACTCAAAGATACCAGTCAAATACAAAGGTAAAGTTCTCATACGCTTGAGGAATGAGAGTCATCAATTCATATCCAATGTCTATTATGTTCCTAACATGAAAAATAATATTTTGAGCTTGGGACAATTGTTAGAGAAAGGCTATGACATCCACTTGAAAGAACATAGTCTTTTCTTAAGAGATTGTGGACATAAATTGATTGCTAAGATGCATATGTCAAAGAATATAATGTTCTTCTTGAACATTCAAAATGATGTGGCAAAGTAACTCAAGGCTTGTTATACCGACACTTCGTGGCTATGGCATCTACGATTCAGACACCTCAATTTGACAGTCTAAAATGTTTGTCAAAGAACGGGATGGTGAGAGGCTTGCCTAGTATAAACCGCTCAGACCAACTATATGAATGATGTTTAATTGGGAAGCAATTCCGAAAAATCTTTCCAAAGGAATCGACGTCAAGAGCGACAAAATCGCTATAGCTCATACACACTAATGTCTGTAGACCAATCAATCCATCTTTTGGTTCTATCTACAGTAGGGAACCCTTCCTTCTAAAATGTCATCTGGTCTGCTCCATTACTTTAGATTTTCTCAGTTTATTTCAGCTTCCCCAGTGTTGTTGTCTTTCCCCAATATTGTTGTCTTTCCCCAGTATTATTGTCATCCCCAGCGAGTGGTTACTCATTGTGTCGCTACTTTTCCTGTTTGCTTTTGTTTTTGTCTGCATCTTTGCATTTATACATCCCATTATTATCATCACGCTAGAGCTCATTGCATGTCAGCATTGAGTAGTTTTCTTTTGTCCATAACATAGCATATCATTGCATCTAAGGGCAAAATTTTTGGTTATTTGTATTTAAATACCTTTCACCATGATTTCATGAAGAATTTCATCACTCATGTCATCCGGTAAGGATATTTAAATAGGGGCAACTGTCATACCACAAATTTTACCCTTAGATTCTTTGATCTTTTGCATGTCATTCTTGGTCAATCATCTTACATATCCCCATATATCATCCAGAATAAACTTATTGGAATTACAGCCGAATCGGTTGCATTTTAGACAGTTTAAACTGTTTCAACGGATAAGATTTATTTCGAAATCGGACGAAACATTGTATTCTCCCGAGTGGTTCATCCCACGCTGATAATTTTAGTGCATTCGTTTTACGTTTTTTAGTATTTCGGTAGTTGACCTTTTACTCGCTTTTTTTATTCATTCTATTTGTGATTTATTTTTAAATAGTCTTTTATTAGTTTAGATTTAATTTCAATTTGTTTATTTTATTTCTTTTTATTTATTTACTTATTTTTTAGTTAAATTTTGTAATTAAATTAGTTTATTTAGATAATTAAGATTTTATTTTATTTTATATCTTTATTTATTTCTTTCTTTCTTAGTTAAATGATCTAGAACTAACTTAATTTAGTTTAATTAATTTTATTCTTTTTTATATTTTATTTCATTAATTGTTAGCATTTATCATTTATTTATTAATTTTTTAATTAATTAGTTTTAAATTAATTTAGATAATTAGGTTTTAGTTGGTTTTAATTATCTTTATATTTATTTAATTTTTGCTATTAGGTAATTAGTATTAATTTTTTCATTAAATTATAATATTTTAATTTAGTCATTTATTTTCTATTTTTAGTTATTTAATCATTTGTACTCATTTAGATTTAATTAGATTTTAGTTTAGATTTATTTTTTTTATT